TAAAATAACAATACACAAATTTTAAAGAACTATGAACTTTTGAAAAATGCTGTTATTCATTGCTTCACATTTTGCATGAGAGCACACCAACAAGCTCATAATCTACCATGGTTAAAGTAACTTTTTTTTTTGTCCAAAAAAGACATATCTGTTACAAATGAGCATTGCTATAATATGCATTTGTACAGGTGACTATACATTCTCTTATTCCCAGACATATCCTGATCGGGGTTTCTACATTGCCTAAAATGCCCGGGTTTTGGCTTTTGCTCTCTACAGTCCTCAGACATTATATGTACATGCATTTGTATTGCTTTGACTGTTCTCTGTAGATCCCACCTTCTTCTTCACAATTTGTCAATTAAACACAATGCCTGCATGCTGGACAAACTACTTTACAGTCATTACTTTCAGCAAGAACTAAAACAAAGTCAAAACCCAGACAAAACGTATGATCGCTGTACACGTTACTGTACATCAGAGAAAAAAAAGCTCTTTCTACAGACATGAGTTTATTCTCTATGGAGCCACATGCTGAACTCCTACAGAAAAGACAGTGGCAGTAAAATAAATGTCTCCAGGGCGGCCCACCGGCACACTAGTTTAATGGTGTGTCTCACTAGTACACACCATTAAACACTCAATATCATTAAATCAAGTAATGGAGTAATGAGCCAGGGAGCCACCAGGGGCAGTGCTGAAAAACTCTGTGGTTGCATGCAATACATTTCATCTGGCACATCATTTTATCCTATACTGAAAAAAAATCTTCTGTAGGAGTATAACGTGCAATAGACATTTTTTGTAACATAATTCAGAATGCCATTTAATTGGCTCTTTTATATTATGTATAGGCCTATCCATGTAATATTGCAAAAAACGCATCCACATCATTACAGACATTACCTTACATAAACTATTAATGTTATGCAGAGAAATGTAAAAACAGTAGCGGTTGCAATGTAATATATTAGAACAACGCAGTTGACTTGATGTTTAATGCTTTTTCCTGGATTTAGCAGTTTAGCTTCATTTTGTTATGCAAAATCCAGTGTGTTCATTTATAAAGAGCACTGAACAAAACATGTGTTTCCTCTGTGAAGTATAGATTTATAAAAAGTTTGGCAAGTTGTATTAAAACAAATGTATGGAAAGCTAAAAGAGAGAGAAATTAAACAAAAAAATATATAAATAAAAAATAATTAAAATGATGTATACATTCAGAGGAACTGAGCTTACTGTCTAAAGCCCTTATTTCTCAGTGCAGTCGTTACATCTGTAAACGGTTTAGTAAACGGTATTACTAAGAAAGGATATACAGTGGGTACGGAAAGTATTCAGACCCCTTTAAATTTTTCACTCTTTGTTATATTGCAGCCATTTGCTAAAATCATTTAAGTTCATTTTTTTTCCTCATTAATGTACACACAGCACACCATATTGACAGAAAAACACAGAATTGACGACATTTTTGCAGATTTATTAAAAAAGAAAAACTGAAATATCACATGGTCCTAAGTATTCAGACCCTTTGCTCAGTATTTAGTAGAAGCACCCTTTTGATCTAATACAGCCATGAGTCTTTTTGGGAAAGATGCAACAAGTTTTTCACACCTGGATTTGGGGATCCTCTGCCATTCCTCCTTGCAGATCCTCTCCAGTTCTGTCAGGTTGGATGGTAAACGATGGTGGACAGCCATTTTTAGGTCTCTCCAGAGATGCTCAATTGGGTTTAAGTCAGGGCTCTGGCTGGGCCATTCAAGAACAGTCACAGAGTTGTTGTGAAGCCACTCCTTCGTTATTTTAGCTGTGTGCTTAGGGTCATCGTCCTGTCAGTGTTGTCTGGACAAACGATACTCACATTCTTTCTTGGATATATATTAATCATAAATAGATGGTAATCATTCTGAAACAAAAGGCAAATCCATGATATTAATAAAAAGATGGATAGCCTTAAGATAATAAATAGTGCAACATTTGCAAACTCTGTCCTTCAAAATGACAAAGAATTTGAGAAGGAAGTTTTCCCGTTTTAAAATCCAGGAAGTAACTTAAATCTCTTTCACATTTCTTGGTCATTGCTGGTGTAATGCTGTAGGACCTACTGTGCACCTCTCCACTGCATCAGAGCAGCAGATTCCTCAGCGTTCAGAGGTCCGTCTTCACTGCCTTTGCCATGTTGTTTAACATCAGAATACGAGGTATGGCTGGACTCACCACAGCGGTGGTGAAAAGGGGAAGAACGGATACTGAGTTTCATCCTCATCCACAAAGAAACACTGGAAGTAGGGAACGTTCTCTGTAGGGGAAAAGACATTAGAGATTGTTTTAGGATTATTTAAAGGAAAAATGAATGGCTGCACAGCACATTCAAAGAAAAAGTACAACAAACAGGCTTGTCATTTGACCTTTGTCTCTGACTTTGAAACGTTTCTATTGTCAAGAGTTTCTATTGTTACACATTACTTCAAGATTGCTTTTAAAGAATATGTGCATGTGCATAATAAATGGAATGATCATAAGTCAGATAAAGGTTCATCATGATCTGAAGTCTACACTTGATATAGTGACAAAAACTCACCCTCCTCTATCTCTGGAATATCTTTGGAGACATCAGGTTCTTCTCCTACAGAAGGGAAATACATATTTCTTTAATCTAATCTCAATCAAATTATTTTACAGTACACCATGGTTATTATCCTCCTGAGACCCTGCATCCTCATATGAGGACATTATATTTTAGTGAATATCTCTGGGTCTTTACATGCCACAGTTTTATGCACAGAGCACATTCAGGGCTTTTCAGAGATACTAAATGTTTGGATGTTTCACTTTGACCACTCCCTCTCCTTGGTCTTCAGAAATGTCTGATATTAATTTAGTGACACTCTTGTGGAAATATGATAATATTTTGTAATTATCATTTAAATCCGACAAATTTTTAAACTGTGTCATAAATCAACATCTCAGGAAAATGTTATCAAATCAAAATATGTCTTTCTGTTACGAAACAGGACGTTGATTTCATACATATCCTCATATAAGGACACCAGGATTAAAAACATGTTTATTACGCATTTTGGGAGACACAACAAATGAATAGGGAAAGAAAATATATTTCAATATTACTATAAATATTATATATTATTATGAAAATCTTGTCAATTATGACTCCCATTATTACACTTCTTTTTTCATTACATGTTGCCCCAAATTCACATTAATATGCAAATTAGATTTAGTTTATAGAGACAATATATATAATGAGAAAACCTGCTATGGCCATTTTACACACATTTTGCATGAAGAAAAATTGTATATCAAATCATTCTGTTAGTTGAGAATTATCTTTGAACAAAGCTTGGTAAAAGAAAAAAATCCTGAAAACTAAAATAAAATAGAAAAGTGAATCATTTCTTGGACATAATGGATATAAATCATTTGTTGTGATAACCTTTAATCTTAATAAGAGTTCAAAGTGATTTACAAAGAAACAAAACTAATATTTTCTGATTTAGGTTTTTATGGTCTTAGTTGCCCACAAAAAAAAATCACAGAATTCATAAATTCTGTCAATTAACATTTGCATATTTGTATAATATAGCTGCTGTTACATAGCTTTCCGACATACCTTTCTTTGCAGGTGCTGGTTTACTGATGTTTTTCAGTGCGTCACGTTCTGTGTTGTGAAGACAAACTGGTTAAGCTGCATGCAAGTTTCAATTTCATAATAAGACAATGAAAACTGGATCTAATTTACATTCATCTTGTACTGTATATATGCAGACTAGAGAACTAATAAAAGACAATATGGGTAAGACATAAAAATAAATTATACATAAGCAAAAGAGACAATCTGACTGAAAGTGAATCGTAGAATATTCTAATACTGCTCTAATGAAGCTTCGATTTCATTAATACATTGTCTCCGGCAACTTCCAAAAGAAAAAAAAAATCCTTGTTATATATGAGAATTACCTGCTTTAATATGTGCTGTCATCTTCGTAACGTTCACCAGAGCATCATGGTCTAGAAAAGAAAAATCTTTCACTTACTCACATGTGAACACTACAGTGGGAATCCCAATTGTACAGTCTGGTTCCTGTTTAGTTGTAGCTCGTTATGTCTATAATTCATGACCAGCTTGAGTAATTGAGTTTTAATACCTTTTTTTGCTGTTTTGACCTTTTCCTTGGAGACTGCTGGTTTTACCTTTACACCGACAGTCTTCGGCTCTAAGACACAAGCAGCATGTGGTTTAACGAAAGCAAAACAATTATTTATACAAATAATTTATGCAAATTTAAGTTTTTTATTTTTCCGGCCTGATAATGTCAAAATCCACCACATTTCTAACATGGACAAAATACCTTTGATTGTTCTGTAGTCCATTCGTAAAAGTGTAATTTGATTTTGAGTGGACTCCAGATCACTCTTCATTTCACCAATGTCCTTCCTCAGTAAATCCAGAAGAGACAGTTTTTGGTTGACAGTTCAGGAGCTCCAAGTCCAAACCAATAAGACCAAGACCAACATCATCTGTGTATACAGAAGTGTAAAAATAATTTGTGTAAATGACCTGAGGCCATTCAGACTCTTATCAAATGCACAGATGTTACATGAGATTCAATCATGCAAACGTAAGCTTTAATTATTCATTAGCACCATCAAAAACAAAAAACAAAAACATGATTATTAGTACATTTTCTAAAAGACTTGTGGGGAAATCTCACCTTTTTTTTGGAGCTGGTTCTAATAACTTTTCTATAGCGACTTCAGGCTCTATAAAACAATATTTCATGTGAAAATAATATTATACAATAACCATGTAACAGAAAGCAACACTACACAGAGGATGGTTTCATTGACATTCACACCTTTCTTCACAGGAGCGCGCTTAACTTTCTCCTTGGTGACTTGAAAGGATGAAAAGGAAATGTGAAAATATTATTTAAATATGATTTTCTTTAAACTGGAGGTAAAATATTGGTAACTCTTACCTTTCTTCTCAGGAGCTGGTTTAGCTTTTTCCTTGATGGTTTCAGCCTCTAAATTTTTTATAAAAGAACATTTAGAGCAAATAAAAAACTTAATACAGTATGATATAATATTCTGCTTGGGAATAGTGTTAATGTGATTGCTAACTGAGTAAATCAAACTTTTCTTCACAGGGGCTGGTTTAGCTTTTCTCTTTGACAATTTCAGCCTCTAAAACAGCAATAGTAATAAAAAACATTGGGGAAAAAGCCTTATGGCTTGGCTAAAATTGATAACTCAACTAAAATAACCTGATTATTTTAAGGGGCTGAAACCTAATTTGCTACACAAGATATCACACTAAAAATAGAAGCAAATAAACTCATACCTTCCTTCACGGGGGCTGGTTTAGCTTCTTTGATGACAGCTTCTGAATTAGTGACGATGAAAAAAAATGTATAAAAATTTAACACACACAGATAAGGAAATTTGTTAATTTAACATTATTAAATAGTTTAATATACCTTAAAATCATTCTATCAGATGTTAAATGGCATTAATATCACAAAAAACGTACCTTTCTTTGGTGCTGGCTTTGGCTTTTCTTTATTAATTTTGGGTTCTGTAAAACACGGCAGTAGAACTTTACAATAGCAAATGACAAATAGCAAATAAATGGACAATTTTGTGTTACGTGAATTTTGAACTAAAATGTCAACCATGTACCCTTTTCTTCAAGGACTGGTTTTGCCTTAACAATAGCTTTTTTTTGCTATGATTGACCATATTTTTGGTAAAAGTGTAAAATGCAAAAAGACCTGAGAGGAAAACAACTCACCTATTTTGTGTTTCGGTTCAGGTGCCTTTTCTTTAGCAGCTTCAGGCTCTTTAAAATCAGCAATGCAAGAAAATGTCATTGATTTCCCTACCTTTCTTTTCAGGGGCTGGTTTAGCTTTCTCTTTCCTGATTTCAGCCTCTAAAATGTTGCAAAATAGTTATAAAAACATTTTAACATAATATAACATTTTGTTAAGGAATAGTGTATACACTAATAACTTTACGTAAGCATACCTTTCTTTGGTGATTCTTTGACAAGATTTTTTATGTTTTAAAAAAAAAGCAGAACTTGAGTCAAGACTTATAATGGCATAAATTATCATAATGTTCTTTGCAATATTTATAAAAGCCAAGTGGCTAGAGTCAATCAATTGACAGTACTTGTAATGCATTCACAAATCAACAGGTCATTTAAGATGCGAACATGGTTTTGCCTTTTCTTTGCGACTAAAAGGGGCAACAATGAAAATAAGGATTTGTTTCTAAAAATGCTTGAAATGTAAACGTGTAATATAGCATATAAAGTATATGAATACCTTTCATTGTGGGTTCAGGTGCCTTTACTTTAGAAACTACAGGCTCTATAAAACATTATAATCATCATACAGTGAAAACAACAGTATACATATAGGATGATTTCATAACCATACCTTTCTTTACAGAAGCTGGTTTAATTTTCTCCTTGATGACTTCAGCCTCTATAATAATGATATTTCAAATATGTTTAGAGAAAGAATTGCATTCTAATAACAACAATAAAAACCACAATAAATCAAACCTTTCTTCTTAGGGGCTGGTTTAGCTTTCTCTTTAGTAACTTCAGGCTCTACAAAACAAAACAGAGCAATTTCAATCATGTCAAATAATACAGTTAAATGCACATATGTAATTTAATGTTAACAAGCACAATAAATCAATTTATAAAATCTTTGATATAATTTGATTGACCAATGTCTGAAAAAAAGGATTGTGGGGAGATATCGAAGCATTTTGGGGTTTTGGTTCGGGGGCCTTTTCTATTGCAACTTCAGGCAAGTGTTTAAAATTGATCTGATTTCATTCATGTGATTCATCATACAGCAGAAAGTGTCAGCATAAGCAGGAGGATTTCATTTAAATTCATGCACCTTTCTTTACAGGAGCTGGTTTAACTTTCTCCTTGATGACGTCAGCCTCAGAAATGGCAATGATTTAAACATATTTAGAGATAGTAAATCTTTTTTGCATTAATAAATGTATTTCTGTCAGGACCACTATCGTCAAAATGATAGATACTTAGCATAAAGTTTAGTTTGGCGGTATGGTTCTGTTCTGGCAAAAACCTCCCTGAGAGCAACCTGAAAAGCTGCTGAATAATACTGAATAAAGCTTATATAGGAATGCCGCGATAGGTGTCGTATTCCTATAGGTAGATGTGATCAGCTGAGAATCAGCTGATGGAAGCTTGACTCACGTGACCTGCCAGAACTAATGCTAACGCTTAATTTATTAGCTTTATCTTTACCAGTGAAATCACTCTTGAAGCTAAGATGATAACTCTTAACTTTCTTCTCAGGGGCTGGTTTAGCTTTCTCATTAATGACTCCAGCCTCTGAAATTATGATAATGCAAAAATATTTAGAGGAAGCCAAACACATCCATTGACTTAATCTTAAATTTTGCTTTGAGGAAATGGAAATGTTTTAAATATTAATATAGTAAAATGAAACCTTTCTTCTCAGGGGCTGGTTTAGCTTTCTCTTTGATGATGTCAGCTACTAAAATATAAAAAAAAAATCTAATCTATTTTGTGTTAAAAAACTAAAGCTGTTGACTTTAATTTTCTCAGGTTTATGAACATATGAAAAAAAAACACTTTGTAATGATGTCTTATAAATAAATACTGTGTGTTTATGTAACACACAGTAGAAGCATACAAACACATACTTAAAGCAGAAACACCTTTCTTTTTCTTTGATGAAAAAATATTATGAGAAATCAAAAGATCCGTGTTATATTAAAATCTTCATTGATATCCATACCTTTCTTCTCAGGGGCTGGTTTAGCGTTCTCCTTGACGACTTTAGCCTCTAAAATGGCAATGATGTAAAATATTTTGAAGATTTAAAAGATTTATTATCTTTATAATTTTCTTGTGAAAAGTGTTCATTTGATTCTCAACATTTTAGATTCTCAAAAATCAAACCTTTTTTCTCAGGGGCTGCTTTAGCTTTTTCTTTGATTACTTCAGCTTCTGTAATTGTTAAGATATAAAACATTTAGGGAAAAATTTATATTATTCTAAACTAGTTGGCAAAATCTGGAAATGTTTAATATGTTGAAATAAAAATAGAGAATAAAACAATGACATGAAAGAATAAATGGCATAACATTTTGTATAAATACACTGCCTGGCTGGTAAAAGGTATACATATACTAAAATACCTGCAGGATGTTTTTTAAGGAAAAAAAGATGAGGTCTTTATGATCTTTATGATACAGCACTGATTCATGTGCTGGATAACCGCACAAGCATTTCATTGACATCCATACCTTTCTTTACAGGAGCTGGTTTTGCTTTCTCCTTGACTTCAGCCTCTGAAATAGCAATGTGGTGATTGTTGAAGTTTTTGTTTTTAATATTATCTTTAAAACTACCGAGATAAAATATCAACATGAACTCACCTTTTTTCTCAGGGGCTGGTTTAACCTTTTCCTTAATGACTTCAGGCTCTAAAATTATCATAAAGTTTAATCATAAATGTTGTTAGAGAAAATGGTAATTTAATTCTTAATACAGTAAATCAAATCTTTCTTCTCAGGAGCTGGTTTAACTTTCTCTTTGATGACTTCAGCCTCTAAAATATATATATATAAAAAAAATAATAAATAGAAAAATGCAACCTATTTTACAAAAGGCCAGTGGAAAAGCTGTTTAGGCATTATTCCCACTAATAAATGTAAGCAATTTACCCTTCTTTGGTACAGGCTTGGGTTTTTCTTTGGTTATTTCAGGTGCTGCTGCAAAACATGAGGGTTTAACTTTAGAGTTTGCAGATGTACAGATAAATCAACAAGGTACTGCATTACATAAGTATTAAAAGTGATTTTGAATTGACAGGTAAACTAGGTACGTATACCTTTCTTTTCAGGGACTGGTTTTTCTTTTTCCTTTGGATCCTCAACTGAAAAGACATCACAAGGTAAATTAATATTCTTTCTACAAAAGGCTTATATGAAAATATATGTATGAGGCATGTTTTCAAAATTGCACATTTTATAATATAAACAGTAAATATAGAATATTAACACCTTTCTTGGTGGATTCTGGTTTTGGTTCAGGTGCCTTTTCTTTCGCAACTTCAGGCTCTATGAGACAATAACATGTCATGTGATGAATGATCATCACAGTTGAAATCTAAAGTACAGCATATGATTATCTTATTCACATTCATACCTTTCTTTACAGGAGCTACTTCCTCCTTAATGACTGCAGCCACTATAAAATAAAATTTAGAGATTGTAAATAGGTGAATGCTGTTAGCTTGGGTAAAATGTCAATCTGAATGAAGCATAAATGAAATCGATAAAATGTAAAGTTTAAATAATGGTACACTTATCTTTCTTCTCGGGGGCTGGTTTAGCTTTCTCCTTGACTTCAGCCTCTAAAATTATGACAATATATAGAAAAGGTACATTTTAGCATAATTATTTTTGAATGGGGATGGTAATTATTATTTAATTGTTAAAGCAACTCAAACCTTTCTTCTCAGGGGCTGGTTTGACTTTCTCTTTGATGACTTAAGCCTCTAAAATGAAGTTTATAAAAAAATTGAAAGCATTAGCATTGTCTTAAAACTGGCCATACTACAGGTTTTGACATTATTCTTACAGATGAACTCAGATACCTTTCTTTGGTGCTGGCTTTGGTTTTTCTTTGCTTATTTCAGGTGCTGGAAAACACAGCAGTAAAGAACGGTCATAACTGACTTTTTACATTTGCAAATGTGTTATTTGATCAGTGATACAGTGTCACAAAATAAATAAAAATCCTTTGTAACCTAAACTGTAAGAGGTTACAAAGTAAATAAGGACAAGTTTTTTAAGGAAAACTTGTAATGTGAAAATATCTGTATGAGATTCAGTCTAACCTAGTATTCATTGTTGTAAATGTTGATAAAGCATGTACTGTATCTTATTACCTTTCTTTGGAGGTGCTGGTTTCTCTTTGATAAATTCAGGCTCTGTCAAATAGATGGATAATTCACTTTCAATAATGTCAAGCAACTTCAAGAGCTTCTGAATAAAGAAAATTCTCTCTAAAGAATAATCAAATTGACTGCTGATGAAATATGTAAAATATTCAGTAAATGTTTTTAAAGGTTCAAGAACCAACCTTTTTTTGGGTTTCAGTACAGGTGCCTTTTCTTTAGAAACTTCAGGCTCTATAAAACAGTTTTAATGCAATAAATGATCATTATACAGTGGAAAACAACAGCATATTCAGGATGATTTCATTGATATTCATACCTTTCTTTACAGGAGCCGGTTTCACTTTCTCCTTGATTACTTCAGCCTCTGAAATGGCAATGATGTGAAAATATTTAGAGATTCCAAAAGGTTTTCTTTAACAATGTTTAAATGTCCTTGGCTAATTTATAAATTGGTATTTAATACAGAATGAAAGTCCACATCAAGCTACAATAACGGTAACTCAAACCTCTCTTCTTAGGGGCTGGTTTAACATCTTTGATGACTTCAGCCTCTGTAATGATAAAAAGAGGAAACAAAATGGCTTTTTAGCATATATGTTCTTTAATTTGTTTAAGGGAAATGTTCATTTGACTCCTACTTTTGCTTAACAACAATACCTTTCTTTGCAGGAGCTGGTTTAGCTTCCTCTTTGATGACTTTAGCCTCTGAAATGTCAATGATGAGTCAATATTTTGATACTGTAAATTATTTTCTTTAACATAATTTTTAAAATATGTTTGTAGATCTGCTTGATGACTTCAGCCTCTTACATTATGTGATGATGAAAACAAAGCAAGCAAAACACTATCACTGTCTTAAAACCTGATTGGAGAAAATATTAGCTTGTATTATTGTTCTCACAAATAATGGTATATATCTTTCTTTGGTGCCCACGGGTTTTCTTTGGTTATCTCAGGTTCTGTTAAACATGGAATTTATGAAACATAAAAAAGCTTGAAATATGACACACATTAGTCCTGCCTGGTAGTACATTTTGCAAATATTTCAAACAAACATTGCATATACTGCATCCTAATGTGATACCTTTGCAGGTTCTGGTTTAGCTTTCTCTTTGGTAACTTCAGGTTCTACAAACAAAATGATATTTCAGTTTTAAAACAGTTCAGCAAAGACATGTCTTTATAGCAGCTTCAGGCTCTGAAACTATGCTTAGAAAAATTACATTTGAAATTTTGCATTGGCCTTAAAAACTGTTAAATATTTGTACCTTTCTTTGGTGCAGGTTTTGGTTTTGCCTTTTCAACTGCAACAGCAGGTTCTGCAAAACATTCAGATATAATTTAATACGATTGTGTTTGCTTGAATATCTAATTGTTATTAATATATGTAATTGTACAAATTATTATTTCAGGTTCGGTTTAACATATCCTGTTCCTTTTTAATATACCGTAATCAAAGACTTATCCATACCTTTCTTCACAGCGGCAGGTTTATGCTTGTCTTTGGCAACTTCTGCCTCTGAAATATATAATATTATACAGAATACATTTCTACACAAGAAAAAAGAAAAAACTATGCACAAAACATTGAACCACTTCAAAAACATGATGAACTATGCAGACAATTAACCTTTTTTGGAAGGTTCAAGTTTTGCTTTCTCTTTTGGAACTTCAGGTTCTGTGAAAGAATGGAAAATCAGCTATATTCAGTGTGATGTTTCATGTTCAATATGTGCTCATATTCAGAAAACAAACCCAAATAATTAAAGCTCACTTCTTTGACTTGATATCAACAGAAATAAACACTTGTTAAGTAGTATAAATACCTTTCTTTACAGAAGCAGGTTTGGGCTTTTCTTTTACAGCTTCTAAAAAAATAAAAAGTTTAACATCAACATTTCTTTCTAAATTACATGAACACAGTTGTATTTTGTGCAATTTTCACATTTGAAAATGATTACCTTTCTTTGGAGGTTTCTCCTTCTCTTTAATAATTTCAGGCTCTAAAAATCAAGTCAAACTGCTTGGTAAAATATTTATGTAACGTTAATGTACATGCTTAAGTAATGTAAAATATTCCGAAAGTTTTCTTCTCAAACAAACCTGCATCTTAATGGATAATGATTTGCAGGATAATATTTCAGAAAATCAATCTTATGATTTTATTATTACCCTCTCAAATACAGAGCATGAGCTCTGTACCTTTTTTAGCTGGTGCTGGTTTTGCCTTCTCTTCAACAGTTTCAGCCTCTGTTCAAGATTCAATCATTTTTCTTCATGTGATATTCGTTTCAAGATATGCATGTTGAACAATAAAAACAATTGCAATCATTTTACCTTTCTTTAACGGGTCTGGCTTGGCTTTTTCTTTGGAAACCTCAGGCTCTTTACATCAGTTAATGTTAGCAGTTAGCATCATTAACATTGCAAAAAA